AGTAAATAATAAGGAAGCTGAAATATTTTTTTTAAAACCAAAAAGTCCTAAGATAGTTTGATTAATTTCTGATCAATCTTGATTAATTGATTTGATGTCAATAAATCCTCAATCAATTCAAGTTTGATTGATACCACTAATGTCACCAACGGCAAATTTAAGTACAATTATAACCCTCATCTAGATTTCATAATTCAGGGCTAATTTTTCAATAGACAGGTAAATGTTATCTGAGGAATAAAATGTTGTTGTCACTGTCTTATACAAACATTCTGACGCGAGAGCATCCTTATTATTCCCCAGATAACTTTTATTTAACCATTGAAAAATCATACCATCATACCATAGTCGATTCTAGGTAAGTAATAAAATGAGGTATATACACTGCCGGCCAAAAGTTTAAGACCACTTGTAAAAATCTTCAAAATGTTTGAATTATTTAAAAAATACTTGTGATAAAAAAGCAATTTGCACACGTGCGCATTCTATTGTTGCCAGATAGTGTCATAAACGTCATTCTTTTGTTTATTTTGAGTTGTCGTTTTATAAAAGAATAATTGTTTCAAAATATCAATGAGTGCCGCGCAGGGACCAAATGGTAGAGTTATTGTAATATTTTTATTACTTCCTCTTTACTTAATAGTATGCTTTTGTTTTGCGTTAACCATTATTACAAAATATCTTAACATGATTTAACATGTTTTTTACTCAACTATTCTTGAATTTATCTTTCTATATTTGATTTAGTCTGAACTTACAGTTTGTAGTGTAAAGACGTGTTAAGAATGGGAAAAGTACCCGAAATCAATAGTGAAATTCGTTTTGCCATCGTTGTTTTGCATAACGAAGGCAAATCTGAACGCGCGATAGCATCACAACTAAAGCTGTCGAAGACTTGTGTTCACAATGCAATTATTCGATACAAGGAGACTAACAGTAATCAAGATCGTCCACGTTCGGGAAGGCCGCGAGCTACTACTTCTAGCGAGGATCATTTCATCGTTGTCACAAGCAAGCGGAATAGACGGCTGACGGCACCAGAAATCCGTGCTGAACTGAACAAATCCCGATCTAAACCTGTGTCATTAACTACTGTGAAAAGAAGATTAAGAGACGCTAACTTGTTTGGCCGCGTTGCCGCTCGAAAACCCCTGTTAAAACCGCAAAATAAAAAGAAACGGATGCAGTGGGCCCTTAACCATCAGGATTGGACTGAAGAAGATTTTAAAAAAGTTCTTTGGACTGATGAATCCAAATTTGAAGTATTTGGTACAAAAAGAAGAGTTTTTGTGCGACGCAGAGCTGACGAAAAAATGTTGCCAGACTGTGTAGTGCCAACAATGAAGCATGGTGGTGGTTCTATTATGGTTTGGGGATGTTTCTCGGGCCATGGAACAGGAGATTTGGTGCGAATCCAAGGAATCATGAAAAAAGAGCAGTATAAATTAATTCTAGAAAAAAATGCTGTTCCGTCAGGGTTAAGGATTATTGGAAATGGATTTATTTTCCAACAAGATAATGATCCCAAACATAGCTCAAAGTTATGTAGGGGATATTTGGAACGAAAAGTAACAGATGGTGTATTAAAAAACATGATCTGGCCGCCTCAAAGTCCAGATTTAAACCCCATAGAGCTTTTATGGGAAGAGCTGGACAGAAAGGTGCGTGATGGGTGTCCGTTTTCTCAAGAAGACCTTTGGCGGATACTTCAAGAGAGTTGGAAGAATATTTCACAAAAAACAATCAATAAATTAATAGCTCGGATGCCGAGACTTGTAAAAAAAATCATAAAATGTAAAGGTGGATTTTTTGATGAAAAATCTGTTTAAATAATAAACTCCATTTTTAACATTAATGTCAAAATTTTTGCATATTCTAGCGTAATTGTATTTAAGTACTATCTAATTAGTATATTAAACCATTTGATTACTTGTATTTATCGATTTATTCCATTTTCCCCGCATTTTCCTACTTTGATTAAGGTGGTCTCAAACTTTTGGCCGGTAGTGTATTTAACAAGTAATACTAGTCTTAAAAATAATGCAGTCACAATAATAATATTAATCACTTAAGTGAAAACACAGCCATTTAAGTCCAAAACACGTTTTGGAAACTTTAAAAAACTGAAGTTAATAAATAGAAGTCGTAACATCTATGACAAACAACTTATACTTAAGACTAACTTACAAATAAGTTGACAACATTTATTTTTTAAATGTTAAAAATAAATAAACGTAATATTGCAAGCTAAGCAAATATGAGGCTAGCATAAAACAAAAAAAAATACCATCGCTTAAACGAAAAAATATGCAATGGTAAAGCACAAAATATCTTAATAAATACAATAAAATATATCATAGCATTGCACAAAAGCGTCGATTGTAAAATAATATTGCAAGCAAAACATAATAAAAGACTTAAAGCTTAATTTTTGGCTGCTAAAAACAATAACAAAAAAAAATCTATAAAGCTTAATAAATAAATATTACCTAGCAAGCTGGTTCAAGCATTGAATTGCAACTAAATAATTACACTAGCAACTCTAGATCTGTTTAATATTGTCTATTTTATTCTGTCTTTTAGAAAATTCTTTGGTTGAGAACAAGTATGGCGACCCATGGTTTTTTTTTCATTTGACCTTTTTTGTCGTCATCGGCAACATGCTAACTATTCTGGTATATTGCACAATCAGTTTACCAATTTACTATGAATATCAGACTAATTCTAAATTCTAGACACAGAGAAAACTTTAGTAACTATTTAGTTTTAAACTATGTACTAAATATCTAATCGTATTACAACCTTTGGAATGGTTTGTCGACGTTTAGACAGTATCTTTGCATTTAAAAGCATAAGCATAAATAAAACGTATAAGCAAATACTTAAGCTTTATAAGACCACTATTCAGAGGTATATCTTAGTACAATTTTTGGCACATATATTTCAACACATGGAAATACGAACATTCAAACTTACAACAAATAAAAAAAATCAAATATTTTGATGATAACTTCAAGAACTAACATCGTTATAAGTATCCAAGTATCTACGAATCACCAAACATTCATAACAAGATCACTCTAAAGGATTCTTATACCAATGCGTACCTACCTACAGTCAGCCAACCAGTACAGAAAGCGCAGAAACCATTGGTACTTCTGTACTCAGTCAATTCCCTAAACTGCATACTAAATACCTTGGCTAACTGTACATTTTATACCTACCCAACTTACTTAATCAAACAAATCACTTGAGACCCTACATTATGAGATAAAATCGCCTAAATAATATAAAGTAATATTCTGAAATACCGTCAAAAATAGTATCAATCGTCATTTGAAAATATTGTAGTAAAAATAGTTATTTAACAGTCACAACACGTATAAAGGAATCACGAAGATAATCTTACCATATTAAGCGTAACATTACATTTCAAATTAATAAAGGCAATACAGTTAATAAAAGATTTAAAAAACGACAAAATTTAATGGGTATGTTACAAAATACTAACAAAATGTATGTAATGTATGTCCACCTTTGTATACGTAACGTATAAAACAGTTTTTAAATAAAGAACAAATGAATTAAGACTTCCTTCAAACCCGCGATTCGTCTATATCATAAACAATCTGTAATTAGGTGTACTATACCTACCTACAACCTTTTTCTGTACCCTGATAAAGTAAATTGAGACTTCTAGAATAATTATTCAATTTCTATGAAAGATTCTTTTTATTGTACTATTTCGTATGACAGAATGTGAAAAAAAACGTACTTTTAGTTACGATTTAATACTGAGAAAAGAGATCAGACATTTCAGTACGGACTGTTTGCTTTAGTTCATTTTGCTTTTCATTAATATTATTTAACAATATATTAATTAAACAGGTAATGTGTTTTAATTATTAAAGCGAACGTTCAAAATTAATAATAACAAGACGATTAAGAGTAACCACGCATCTAAGATCGATCCATTCTAAAGCATAAATTTGCCAAACGCAACACGGCATATATGAGGCATTTCTTTGAACGCAATTAACAAGCTTTTAACAAAATAAATACTAACCTAATTAATACTTGAAATAATACTGTTACAACAGTCCCGATTTGTACTGTCTGCATATCCGTAACGCATATACATACATATGTATACAAGCAATGACGTATTATATATAGACACGTCATGAACCAACATCGCGGCGCTTAAAAACGGCGAAAATACTAGATAACTACTTCTACGAGTAAAGAAAGGGAAAGAAAATATGACATCGTATAGTGGAATGCCTTTGCTAGAGGGAGATAAATATACTTCTTCAGTTATGCCGATGGCACGTGACTATACCTTCATGCGCCGGCCGCCATAAGATGGCGGGCGCCGGCGTAGAAAAAAATAAATAAATAAAAATAGGTTGTTTGGTGAACTTACGCATGAAATGACACATTTTTGTATTTAACTTTTAGAGTATAATTTGTACATCCTCTGAACACACACGACGGCATGCTTTCTTTAGTTTCGCACAGGTTTACACACACGATATAAATTATAACAAACGTAGCTTCGCGCGGGAGGTTGGTGCGTGACTAAGCGCGATGTTGTCAAATTGCCTTCATTTCATGTTGCCATTTTAGAGCGCGGACAACGTATCTATAGATTTATACATCATTGTATACAAGTGTATTTTTCATTATTAACTATCACAACTCGTTAATAAGATTCAGGTAACAAAGAGGTAAATTAAATAAATTGCGACTGAATAATTCAAAAGAAAATACTTAGTAATTAGGTCGGTTACTTCTAATAATTAGGTCGTTTTTAGGAAAAGTTCTGCTGAGTTTGTTATTTATAGGGTTAGGAATAATTATAAATTACTTATAGTAAAACTTCTTGCTAGGCGACTTCTTTTAGACGGCAAAGCAAAAGTTGGCGATTTCGGTTTAATATAATGTCTTATCGAAACGTTAAACTGTTTAATTTGAAACCATTTTAAATATTTCCTCCTAAATTCTACCACAGGGTATAACTATGCGATTACATCATTTTATAAAAGAGCAGAACATTTTTAGGAATTATTTTAAGCACGAGATCAGTTAATGTAAAAATTATTATGGAATGTAAATTGATGTTCACTTCTTATTTTTTGGAGAGCTTTCAGCACTTGAGGCCAACAAAGCTGAAAGAGTAGCATGTGTGGCACTCAATGTTCCAGATGTAGGACTTACGATGGTGCTGGAGGAATGTCCGACCACATTATTATTGTTCAGCAAACCACCGCTAGTGCCTGAACTTACGATAGTAACGTTCGGAGGTGGTGTAACACCGTTCGCGAAACCAGTCGATAATACCTTCTGCGTATTATGCATCATAAAAGACTTGGCAGCACCCGCACTGCCTAGAGTGAGTACCTTCTTCAACATTACAGAAGAATTGCAGGCATTATCGATCATATCTTTAGTCGTTGAAATACTATCGAAGTCGCTGGAACTTGCTGTGACGACTGTACTTATCTTTGGCGTGGATGTGTGTAGGACCGGTCTTACCGCTGTCACATTGAAGGTCGCGCTTGAAGCTGGCGCAGACAGATTACTCCGATTTATGATGTTCCTCGAAACAATAGCGTTGTGTAGTATGTTACCAGTTGGGAACGACTTAGAATTCACGTTGACATACTGCGGAGTCCCGATGATGGTGGCGTTAGAGGTACGAGTACCGAAGCCAATGATTGTGCTAGCTGTTCCTTGGGACATGACTGTGCTGAATGTTCCCGTTTTAGTGTTGATCGGTATACTGGAAAAAGGGAATATGTCATCAAACCACCATCCTCATGGTTTTTGTTAAAAAAAAAGATATTGACTTGTTATTTATTTTTAGCGCCTACTGTAAAAGTGAAGCAACAAAACTCTTACCCTCGAATGACTTGTGAATTAGTTCCAGGAATATTTTGTATGGTGACAGTGGCCTGTGGTAGATGATGAACTGTTCGCTGGCCAGTCGTAGGAAGATTGGAACTGGTGTAGTAGTGCACCGTACTGCCTGTGATGCGGGGCGGAGCTGCCAAATGGGCTACCGGTACACTGTGCACCATACCGCTGGTAGTTGAGGCCACTGTGATGCATTTTGTCTGGTTCACAGAGAACTAGAAAGGTAAAAAGTAACAATTACTGGCAAGCCCAGTTTTAATAAACTGCAAAGAGTAATAAATTGTAAAAGCAAATGTTCAGAATAGTATGATCTGGTTTTTAAAGAGTAATTCATTAACATTAGACTGATGGCTATAAATGCGTAAAATAACTTACATTTGTGTTCAAGGTAGTTCCCAAATCAAACTCGTCCCCAACCAATGTAATAGTATCAGGATTGGCGCCAGTCAACTTTTCTATTGTTTTTCTCGCATCAGCATCACTTTCGATGTCACCTAAGTTGCGGCTCAGAAACTCTATATCAGACTCCAACAATCCATCAACCAAATGATTCTGTGAATCCTCACCATCTTTACAGAGAGAGAAGGCATCATCATTCTCCAGCTTGATATCTTCCACTTTCATAGCATCAACATCAAGATCATCCATGTTCTCAACTTTAATATTATTTAGATCGACAACGTCTTCGTCCTTCATTTCCTCCATTTTAATCTCATCTAAATCCTCCACTTTTATACCCCCAACTTTCATGTCATCAATATCTTCAACTTTGATATCAGCAAAATCTGTGTCTTCCTTCATCATTGGGACATCAGAGAAGTCCCTACTGTTTTCCCCATTGCCAATGTACTGGCTTGCATCAAAACTGTTGCTGTCAAAGTTATCATGATTTGGCTCAACTTTAATGTCATCTATTTTGTACTTATCTTCTTCTGGCATATTACTCGAGCATGGTTGAGGGCTGTTTGCATTGCTTATATCACCGCTTAGGGCTCTTTTATGAACATACGCTTTTATTTTCCTCAACATGAATAGAGGAACTTTGAAACCTGTGAGTTCTCCCAACATTGGTAGAGAGTTATGTTTATAAGCATCACTATTGGCCAGTTCTTCAATGTCCTCTAGAACCTGGAACGGAATAAAAAAGCAATTCAAAAAATTACATTGCTACATAGGTCATTTATGTCAAGGCAGATTGCGATGAACACATCCTCAGGGCCAACTATAATCGATTAAGTCCAAGTATAAGAAGTTTTTAATTCATTAAAAGTTAATTAATTTACCATGATGTAAGTTTTTCCTCCCACAGCATTGACAAGATTATGACTAGCAATCCATTCCTTGTCCGATGAGTCAGCTGGATATCTGAGTAGACCAGCATGCCTGGTATACAGCCGACCGCGAGAGTTACCGAGACCAAGTACCTGGAATAAGGAAGTATAATTATATTCATACTATAACTATCAGTTAATTGATACTAAAATACTGACACAAAGGCCAATATCTTCCTCAAATTTAATCTTAAACTGGTAATCTGAAATGGCACATTTTTTTTGGAAAATTGTGCCATCTTCATTCCACCTTTGCTGTACACCCAGAATAAAAGATCAAACAAAGAATTTTTCCGTGCGGAATTCCTACCCTAACCCGCGACAAGTTGTACAGAAGCAGGCTATGAAGCCACTGCTCCAACCTTTAAAATCATTATTCACATCAACCAAAACTTTAAATCTATTCTATATTGTATTTTAAATTCATATTTTGCTTCTGGTAAATTACGCACCCCTTTTTTCGTCGCCAGTGGATTTACAAGTAGTATTTCCAGAGAAAACACAGGCGATTTGCTGGTCATTTAAGAATGCGTACGCTCGTTTTTTGGTTTAAAGGTCGTATCGGTTCAGAAAAGCTGTCGCCGAATAATCATTCCAAAGTTTTGCGGCGCAAGGCAAACATTAGCGAAAATAGCATTTTTTGACTGCTAAACATCTATATGATGGCGATAAAAGTGTTTTCGCGTGGGTCAAAAATATTGAGTTTGTTGCAGTTAAAATTATGTAACTACTTACTTTGTGAGCATGAGATCCCATAATAAATAAAGTTTCTTGAGTCAATCTTGCTGGGTTCCATTTCTCAGGGTCCCTGATTGCAGGAGATGGCAACGGAGATGAAGATGCACTGTCTGTTGTATCCTCTTGTTTGATCTTCTTCCTTTTTATTATGTCCATATCATTGTCAGATTCCTTTCGCTTCTGACATGGACTCTGTAACTTTTGTATTTTGATTATATTTTGATGTGTTTATTGAACTTAAATTGGATTAATCTGGGTTTTTTTACAGAAACTCCATAAAACTAATACTTGTAAAGATTTTGGATTTACAGCCAATATAAATTCTGGCTAAATGATTAAAAAACTTTACTGACTGACCAGTATCAATTTACTGTATGTAGAAAAGTGTGAAGTCAATAATAGGCATGATGCATTATTTAAATAAAATGGAACAAGCAAATAGCTCAACTAGAGGACAGACTGATACAAAAATACTTGAACTTCTTGATATTAAAGTCCCTTTGACTTTGAAATACCAACTGATAAACATTATATTTTAAGTAACACTTACATTGGACTGTTTAACAAGTTTAGGATCAACACTATTGCTGGATTCTGAATCACTGTTTTCATAAGGAGACTGAGTAGGTCTTGGTGGTGTTGTATACAACAGTCTAGTGGCATCCAGCATTGCTCGGCAAACTGCCCTCACCTAGAAAAATATATGAGTTTGTTTACAATTACACCTTACAATGCATTGATAAATGAAATTTGTATTACGCAAATTACTATCAACATATTGACTTATTGTGACATATTGATAAAGGTTATTAATGTTTTCTTATTATTTTAATACTAGCTATGACCTGCAGTTTTACTGGCATAGCTTATTGTCTATGCTCACTGGTGATGATAGCACAGATTCTCAACAATGAAACAAATTAATTTTAAAATAGGCCTAATAGTTTCAGAGCCTGTTCAATTCAAACAAACAATCAAATCTTTCCTCTTTATATCATTAGTATAAATAAATAAATACCTGATCTTCACTAACAGACTCATCTCCCAAGTTGAGTCTAATGTTATTTACCGCTGGCACAAAGAATTTCTGAAATAAGTACATTTAATTATGAAACCTAAAGGGTATGTTATTTATGCATGTATTATGATTGGATACTATGTGATGTTGATCAGTTTAGTCAAAAAATGGATTTCTAAATTTAAAACGTTTCTGATTGGAAAATTTAAAATAAAATTAAGCACACAATGAATCATGTTTCAATATGATTCTAAATAGAAAAAAACATTAGAATATAGGAACTCTTTGAAGAAAACTCTAACATAACATTAATTTTATAGTGTTACATACCTCCAAATACTTCTTGATAACCTGATCTATTTCTCTGGTGACTGCCGACTGAATAGTCTGTCTTAACATGTCTAAAGACTTATTGGCACTAGCCCTGAACTCAGCTATAGGTCTCGAGTGTGGCTGTACAGGCCCTGGCAGACTAAATCTTCTGTGCATAGCAGCCAGTGTATTTATGGCAATCTGCCGGGTCACTGGCTGTTTCTGAAATTGTCAAAGGTACAGACTAAAAAAAATGCTGAATATTATGTTGGGCTGTGTAAAAAATTAGAGTACCAAATAGACTGGAATATACTTATTTTGCATAATATGTGCAGAGATTATTGAGACAAAATAAAATTGAGTCAGTCCTTATTGACTGGGAAAAGATGTCATTTAACATGCTAGAGCATTTTAGGTAGTTACTTTTCAGAGACATTCTAAATTTATTGAAAATCTAGTAAATCTAGTAGGGCTAGTCAATAAAAATAAAGTATTAACAAAAACAGCACTACGATCACATAATATAAAATTTAATTGTTTGCTGTTTGTTTACAAATTGCTCAATGCTTCATTCATGGAATTAATTATTTACAACTGGCGTTTTTACGTCTTTCATTATGATTAACTTACCGCGTGCATATTGTTGGGTGTGTTAGAACGAGCATTCAATGTTTTAACTGGTGCCTGAAAGCTCCATGTACCATTAGAATTTTCAGTGACTGAATTCTGTTGCGAAGTATCGACGTTACTCCAATTCTTTTGCACCACCATTTCGAATTCCTGTCATACACTGTTTTGTCTGATGATCATATCCAAACTCACATAAGATCATTCACAAATTGATCACTTAAAACCACAATACGAATTACTTTTTGTTATGTTTCAAGATAAATCTCGTATTTTTTTTTTATCAAAACAGAGATACTTGCTCTCTTTTTATTGAAAGCACTGCAAGGGGAGGGAGGGGTGGGGTGGATGCTTTGCCCAATGTTGCTATGTTTAAAATAAAAAGGTAACGCAAAGGCTAAGAAATGTGCCGGTTAAGATAAAATTATGATGTAAAAACTGAATCGTAAAAGACGTACACATAAGATCAAATGAAATAGATCATAGGAAGGAATAAAGTGGAAGAAAAGTCTGTACTACAAAAGACCTAATATCCGGAAAGTTGAATATTACTCTCTTTTATTTTTTTGATCTAATGGTTTATAAAATATCTATTTTCACATTTCATAAGTGTGGGAGAGCAACGCTTCGGCACGAATGGGCGGCTAGTCGACTGGAGGGATACCACGGCCTCACAAAAAACCGGCGTAAAACAACCACAGCGTTGTGTTTCGCCGTGTGAGTGAGGTTACCGGAGGCCCAATCCTTCCTCTCCCCCAATCCCTAAATCTCCATATCCCTAATCCCTAATAGGTCGGAAACGCACTCGTAACTCCTCCGTTGCGGGTGTCCATGGGCGGCGCTGATTGCTTACCATCAGATACTTAATTCGTCTGCTCATTTGCCGACCCATTATATAAAAAAAATAAAATTTAAAAAACCCCCGACATGAAATCTGATATTCCTATAAAAAGTAATAATTAAAGTGGCATTGGGGGACCGATCCAAACATTTTATTATCAACTACATATTTGTATTTTGTCGGGGGTCTAATTTATTTTATTTTATACTTTTTATAGGTATTATAAATCATTTTCTCTCGATTAAGTCATCAACATTCCCTTTCAGTGCGCTTTCATTTGACACCCCACTCGAGTACCTATATTTGCCGACCTTCGGTTACCCTTCCCCATTTAGCCTCCCATAACTTCTAAACGGCTCAACGTAAATCACCTTTAATACAAAAAAAAACTAAATTGAAATCGCTTCTTCCGTTCAGGCTCCAGGATGCCACAGACAGACAGACAGACAGACACGTCAAACTTATAACACCCCTCTTTTTGCGTCGGGGGTTCAAAAAGAAACAAACCAATACAGTACAGTGTACAGTTCTAAGTTGATATGTTTCAAAAAGTAATTTTTATTCTAGTCTTGGATAAAAAGTGTAGGAGAGATAAAGCTGTTTCGGCACAAAGGTACAAAGATTACTGTGGGCTTTGATCGAAGTGATATAACTACCGCACAGTAAAATTTTGTGTATCAAACCACATAACTTCAAAAGGCCAGGAACGTTAGAAACGAGCTAACGTTATGTAATCTAATGTCTAGGTACTGTATTTTTGGGCAATACAATACAGATAAGTTGATTATCATAATTTTCAAAATATCACAGTTTATAATTTTCAATAATAAATCAACATGACAGTGATGAAAAAAATACGGCCTTTCTTTTAGCTGAGGTGGATCTCACTATTTGTTCACTGTCTAATTTTTATCTTATCTTATCTTTCTGTTATTCTATCTCTTTTTTATGTCTGTTGTTCTTGTTGAAATGTTGACGTGCGTGTGACGTAAACACGTCATCGAAGGTACATCTACCGCCCGGTTAATATTTTTGTGAATTTGTAAATCAAAACTAAGGTAAGTAAATTAATTGAATACTAATTTAGGTACTAACTGTACTAAACCTTGTAAGGCATACTTAATTCATTTCTAATATTAATATCATTCACAAAATAAAGTTGTTAGTTACTGATATCAATTGGTTCGGTGATCGGTCGGCTCTCGGCTGGTGCTAGCATTACTTGGCGTTTGCTGGCGATTGCAGTTTGGTTTGTGAAGTGGGTGGAGCACGACGTGGTCAGTTATCAATACCGTTATCATTTACGAAAATTAATTGGTAAGATAGCGCCTACAGTTCTGACATTTTATTGTAAAAATCGTATTTATTTAGGTATTTGGATAGTAATATTTCTATTTTTACTGAATTATTTTGAAGCCTTCCACTTAAGCCTTATGGACTTTGTACTTTACTTTGCCACGAACTTGTTTTCCGTCTTTAGAAATACTCTTTTATTACCACATTCCTTTGTAATTTCTAATTAATATTCTATATTTGCAGGTTAGGCAAGTGTATAGTATTTTTAGAACAAGAATAAATTCATAATACTAGACATAAACTACAATTTTTACATTCCATAGGACTGTTTAATATGATTAAAGTATTGATTTAGTTTAAAATTATCTACTTAGTACCAGTAACTACTAGAATTTCTCATCATGATGAATATTTTTTTTCAAAACTGATAGGGCCCAATTATGAAAGTAAGTACCTACCAAAATACCTAAGAGACTTTCACTTTCTCAAATAACATTTTCTTTTAAGAGAAAAATACTATGGCATCTTATTACAACACACCTTGAACACTTAATTTGACTTTGAATTTATTTGTGACAATTTTTGTAGTGTTATATTTTATCTAACTACAAATTTGCTAGTCATAGCTTTATCATTTATCTACAAATCAGATTATTATGATTGAAACATACATTTAAAAGAATATTGTTCTTTAAATACTTCAAAAAATGAATATTGATAAGTATAGGCTCAGAAACTCAGCAGCTTTAATTTATATGAGATCTTACCTTTGAATATTATTAACTAATATTTTTGCTGCATGATACTCATATGTTCTACTATGTCATAATATGATGTAACAAGATCAAAACAAGATAGTCTCTCAAGGATAACATTGTGTTTTTTATAACTTAGCTATTTGCAATGGAACAAATAAAAATATACATTTTTAGATTGTCATTTAACTGCAGAAAAAAAATATCATCTTTCTCACAGAAATTGAGTCCCAGTTGGATGAACAATGGATAAAAAGGCTGTTCAGAATCTGTGAATAGCCAAAAATATAAATTGGCAATTTTCCCTGTACCAGTACTTCTTGTTTTTATTATAATGGCCTCTGGTCTGTTGTTAGAAATTAGTTTGTTGAACTTAGAGATAAATCTTTGTTGTCATTTTTTATGTAATCTTAATTTACATTTAGGTACAATGTTATCAGTAATGCTTGTTATTGGCCTGTTAATATTTATAATAATAATTATTATATGGTATAAACTTACTTATAACTTTAGGGTATGAATGAATTTACAACACTGACAAACATGAATCTAGACTTGTAAATCATGTTGCCGAGTTACTCGTAGTAGTATTCGCACAATAGTATAGGCGATTGTAAGGCTATTACATCATCCTGGTATATGTAATAAAATTGATATCACAATAGTGCAATTACTGTCAATGTGTAGGTACCTATTAAGATCCTATCAAAAACATGTTATTGTAGGTAGCTGCGTTGTTATCAATCAAACTTAGCCACAACAGTTAGCTACATATTATTTTGGGACACATTATTATCAATTCTTTTGTATAATAAATATTATTTATGAATTTAATGTAATATTAACTGCTACCTTACTAGGCGAATTTTATTTTAGCACAAACCTATTATTTTACAGAGGTAATAAAGGATGCCATTATAAAGATCATTAGGTACAAAAGCTCCCAATTAATTAAGTCAATAAAAAATGATATAGTCAACTACTTCTTTAGTTGAAGTGCAAATGCAACAGTTAAAGTTTTAGATTATAGAGTATTTAGATTATATTATTTATAGGTTATAGTATTTAGATTTTTTAGTCATTTTAAGTATTAACATTGTTATAACAAGTAAGAAGTTTTCTGCCTAAGGACGTTCAAGTGTTTGCCCTTTATCAAAATACCTTAACTGTGAATAATAAAAGGTTGGTGTCTAAAATTGTGGTAAAGTTATGAATAACTAGAGATGGTTATAATAATAATTAGTTTAATTTATGTATACTGCACTATCTTGCATTGTTTGATGCAGCCTAAATAATTACTATAAAATTTAAACATTTTATCTGGTTTAAACTGATGTAGAAAACTCATAGTTTGGTTAGTATGTTGTGTAATATTCACCTTTTTAATTAACAAGTTGAACTTGAATTGTAATGGGTACATAGTCTACGATTTTTGTTTATTTTAAAATGAATTGCGCTCACCAAGGCCACACCGTTTCGTAGGAATGGAAATGTTTACATAATTTATTTCGACAAGTTAACGAATATTTACGTACTTAGTTGTAGATAGAGTAGTTTTTAGTTAGGTTTCAATGATTTAAATAAACACGTTTTGCTCAGGTGTTGTTTTTTATTATTTCAGATATTCATCATGTCGAAAATCAAGGCCGGACCCGTTGTTGATGTGCTCGGAGATGAGATGACCAGAATTATCTGGGATCTCATCAAGGAGAAACTGATCTTACCTTTCTTGGACATCGAATTGCACGTCTACGATCTTGGTATTGAAAACCGTGATAAGACTGATGATCAAGTTACCATTGATTGCGCTGAAGCCATCAAGAAATACAACGTAGGTATCAAATGCGCTACCATTACCCCTGATGAAAACAGGGTAGAGGAATTTAAGCTGAAAAAAATGTGGAAGAGTCCCAATGGAACAATCCGTAACATTCTCGGCGGTACTGTCTTCAGGGAAGCCATTATTTGCAAAAATATTCCTCGTCTCGTAACTGGCTGGGAGAAGCCCATTATTATCGGGCGTCATGCTCATGCTGATCAATACAAAGCCACCGACTTTGTTGTGCCTGGAGCTGGAACTCTTGAGCTCATCTGGACGCCCCCTAATGGCGAACCTATCAAACATGTTGTTAATGAGTTCAAGGGTGCTGGTGTCGCCCTTGGCATGTTCAACACTGATGCTTCGATCATCGACTTCGCACACTCTTCATTTAAGTACGCTCTTGACAGGAAATATCCTCTGTACTTGAGCACAAAGAATACTATTCTTAAGAAATACGATGGTCGCTTCAAGGACATCTTCCAAGAAATTTACGAAAGGGAATACAAATCGCAGTTCGAAGCTGCTGGAATTTGGTATGAGCACAGGTTGATCGACGATATGGTTGCTTACTCAATGAAGTCTGAGGGTGGATTCGTTTGGGCTTGCAAAAACTACGACGGAGACGTGCAATCAGACTCCGTAGCTCAAGGATACGGCTCCCTGGGCTTGATGACATCTGTGCTGATCTGCCCTGATGGAAAGACTGTTGAAGCTGAAGCCGCCCACGGCACAGTGACCAGACACTACCGCTTCTACCAGCAAGGAAAGGAGACATCCACCAACCCTATTGCTTCAATCTTTGCATGGACCAGGGGTCTTCTTCACCGCGCCAAGTTAGACGACAACGCTGAACTTAAGAACTTTGCCGAAACTCTGGAGAAGGTCTGCATTGACACAATCGAAGCTGGCATTATGACTAAGGATCTTGCTATTTGTATTAAGGGCATGAACAATGTCAAGCGGTCAGATTACTGCGAAACTTTCGAGTTTATGGACAAACTCGCTGAAAACCTTAAAAAGAGTTTGGGAAAGTGACTACCCAAAGAAAAGAAGTTATGTAACTTATGAACAATCTATACCAATCAATTTTTACAAATGAGTTTTGTACCATGTCACAAGGGAATAGGGATACTTTATTTAAACCTTATTTATAACGTGTAATTGTAATTTATTATTATAATAAATGCAATTTTAAAATACTTACATTCAAATTATTTTACTTAATGCTAAGGGTTGACCCGACCCGACTAGTTAAAATTGTTAATGAGATCGCAATCTAATAATATTTAAATACCTTTATCGTTGTTTCGAAATAATTTGGCTTACCAAGAGCTCGATTGAGTCTAGGTCCCAAATTATTGATTTTGTATGAGAATATATACCTACCTAGCAATATTTTATAATAATAAAACTCCAAATTCTCAGTACCTGATTGCAATGTTTAGCGAAATCTCGTATTTTAGTATAATCGCATAAATAACTAATAATCATTCCGTAGCCACACTATAGCAAGTCCTTTTAAAGGAATAACATATTATGGCCTTACTTTGAATATAATTACAAACCTACCATATCTAAGTGGAAATTGTAAATCAGACAGGTTTATTTATTATCTTTGTTGAGATAGTTGCCATTGCCAATGATTCAACACTATTCCAAGGACTTGTTACACTAGCGCCAGACATGAGAAACTAAAACCAAAGAATGTTGAAATCAGACTGGTGTCGTCTTAGTTCCACAAAGTATCAACAGATGGCATGTAATGTAGGTATTTCCAAGATAAGTACCTTATTGTTGAAAAAAAATGCGTCTTATAAAAGTGTAGTACGAACATGTAATTAAACGATCGTTCAACTCGAGTTATTATTAAAAAGTTTGTGTATAATTATGCAATTTTATTGTTGTTTGCTTTTCGTACTTACCTATCAGTAGATATTTGATAACACATTTATAAGAACATAACAGATCAGCATACCTACCTAGATAAGTACCTACCCACCGACACGTAGGTACACTTCCATTATATTGTCATCATTATGTGTCTATTTTTATCACAACGAAAAAAAATTTAACGTCAAAATTGCTGAATCAAGTGTGATAAGTACCTACCTCTAGATTTCGAATCGATAGTAGGTACATAAAACGGAAGATAGCCATGGGCTTAACTTTTCACAAAATTATATTCGCTTCAGACGTGTTCCTATTTTATTAGGTTAGATAGTATAAAAGTAGGTACCTAAAAACAGACGCGTATAAAGCGATAGCTTGATAAAAATACGCAAATCGAATAGGAACATTAGACATAGATATATAATGTTTCAGTGAAAGAATTCTGGAAATGCGACCAAAGATGAGCTATCTGCCCCCAACAGACAAACTTACAATTTTTATCTCTTTAATATTTGTATGTAGTAGGTGTACCTACTTAGACATATTTTATTTGGTGAAAAGTAAATGCTACATTGTATAATTTTCTCCTTAGTCTACCCTTTGGTAATTCGGGGTTGCAAGCGCAATAATATATCGTGGCCTCGGCTCGGAGCAGAAGAAAGAGTTAGATTTTAGTCACTAAGAGTCCCTTCCGCCCTAATCAGGCCGAGAGAAGTAATTCAATGATTATTTGCCCCTCGAAAAGCAACTAAACTGATTAGCCTATTATTTTTTAAAGTTGAAAGTAAAAGTAAATACCTACTCAAAGTTAAAATTGGAGGTGTGACAATGTGTTATAAATACTTATGAAATCTTACTACCTTAGCTAAATTTATACATTAAATACATTAAAGTCAACCTCACATACCTGCATAAGCTGACATAGGGACCTAGTTATTTATTATAGGGAGACCTTAGGGAGAGGGGTTCTTAGGGCACTGTACAGACCATAGTACGTAAGTAAGCATACCTAATGCTATTGTGGTCGATGCGTATATTGTCAAGACACAAGGTATTTTAAGAACGGAAATGGTGTGTGGTTTTTATAAAAAATGCGATAAATACAAATCGATTGGCACCTACCTATCATCGTAGATAAGTAGGCACCTAGGTATTTTGGTTCAGTCTTGTCAGACACCACGACACGACCCACACTCCAATCAGCTTCAATTATCCAAAATGAAAATTTTGTTATTTGCGGTTACCTAAGTATTCGAAAGCAATAAATAATGGCACGTTATTTTGTTAACTCTGTTTTTGGAAAGCTAATTTATAAACCGTCAAAAATACTTTGTCGCTTTATATGTAGGTACGAATTTAAAGGCCTGTAAATACATTCCGTAGGTAACCTATTTGTTATGTTTCCTTTTTAGCTGATTTTATTATACATAGGCAGCTGACTAATAACGTACCTATGTAGGTTTTTTACTGCTAGCCATATTAACAAAGCATTCAATAGTTTACTTTTTAAACTAGATATTCACTTAAATAAAACTCTTACAACCCCTACAGAGCAAAGACCTACACTATTTCCCAAAATATTATTAACGATATATTCCCTGTCCACTGAAATCGTCTATTCACTTTACAAATCGTTTTCATTTTTCTATTACAACAGTGATCCCCTATGCGGCAAGTCGTCAAATAACTTTTCTTAGTGAATTACCGGAGGCGGTTGACGCGGTTTCCCCTACAAGATCGTCCCTCCCGCGACTCCCGCCATTTCTCCCTCTAGTGGAGTGGGCCATTCAGAGACGGTTCGCGAAGCTCTCACGGTGCTTACGGCTTGCTTCAGTTTGGCGGGCTTAGCGTCAGCCATCAGGCGTGCGCGGTGTGGTCACTCCAACAAACATTTGGCGGGAACGGAAAGCTCGCGATCGCGGAAATTTAATCGCAATAACAGCGAATTATAACATTATAAGTTTATGTGTATATCGTGAATAATGTCATTAAAATCGAGTCCCTTCTTGCTTTTACGATGGTTCATCGTATTAAATATTATGGTAAGCTAATTTATTTATTATGAATGCAGGCGATATCGTTTTGAATTGTGTGTTGATATTGATTTTATTTATAAGCGATTAATGGCGTTAAATAAAATTAGGTAGGTACCTACATTGGAAATTAGGAATGATGTATACAAAATGTTGAAAAAATCCCGTATCCAAATATTTAGTCCTTACTGTGTAGCCTCTTTTAAAGAAACAGAATTTTGTATATTAGCACGCAACATACAAGGTGTAAAATAAGTAAAATTAAAAAATGAACTGCACCACGATTTATTTAGAAGAATAATCATTAAAGGCAATAAATAAACAAATGTTTTTTTCCAAAAAACGTAGGAAGAAAATAAAAAGTATTTAAAATATAATTTACAAACAGTTTTAATAATAAAAAAAGAAACATTAAAGAGCCAACACCTAAATGTGTGCTCAAGAACTTAATTCGCGGAATCGACACGCGATACGCACATAGTTACACGCAGTCATTAACGCGGACAATTTACCCCATTCTTTTTCCACTCGTCCCTCAAAGCAATGCAACATCAAAGCGAGAACATTTAGTTCAATTACCATAAGATAATATCCGTCAGTCCAATAACTGTAACCGTTGCAACATCGTAGATACACACGGAGTCGAATCTCCGCCCAGAAGCGTTCGATTGCCGTAACGATGAACTTGCGGATCGAAATGCCATACATATCGAAGGGCGTAGATGCATGCGCCGATCGAGAACCGCTAGCTTGCCATATCAATTTACTAGCGCCGCTCTGGTGCACCCAATTACTAGCTCTGGTTCACATGATTCCTATTCATCAGCCTCTAGATTGCTTTAGTGCCTATTAAAAGATCGTTCGATGAAGAAATATGATGCCTATATAAGAGCTTCAAATATTAGGGGCACCGGTGACTTGAAAAATTTCATACTTTGGCAAAGTTTTGTTCAAGCTAAATAATATTTATTCAAGTTTCGAGGAATGAGCGTGGAATGATTAAAATACTTCATGGAAGATAGTAAAATTATGTTTGTTAATAAATGTTAATTTATTCTTTATCTACGTGGTGTAACTTGCAAACATTTTGATGAAGTCTTAAAGCTTCATAAGAAAATAGCAAATAGTTTCATTATAAATGTAAAACAATACAATTACAATATTAGATATCATGTATCGTGAAAATATTCGTTGTTAAGGCGGAAAAGGCTCAGAGAACGGAGAAGGTTTACTTTGCAAAACATTATAAATACTAAGAAGTTATTTGTTTCCTCTTAACTTTTAAATAAAAGTACAAATTTACCAGTCGAATAAAAAAAAATTAAACTTTTTGGTCTCCTTAATATATTTTCTACTGACTGCTGCTGCTACTTAATTTAGAGTCTTGACCTTAAAAGAGGTCGTGTCTAATTCGGCTTTTACAATCATCATTAAGCAATCAGAAAACTCTGAGCTTACGGAATCTAGCGCCATTTTAATCGAAAAGCAGACTTTTGCTGATTGGTTATTTTGATAGCTCTCTATTAGTTAATTGTCCGAAATCCTAATTCCGTAGGAAAATTAAATTTAACGTTAATGTTTTTCGCTTTATCGCTCTTCTGTGATATCAAAGACACAATGTTACAATAATAATTAATAACAAAATGAACCATAGATTATCTATCGAAAAAATTGTTGACAGTTATAAAACCTCGTTTATTTTTATAGCTGTCTATTGGTTAACTGTCCGAAATCCTAATTCCGAAGGAAAATTAAATACATAAATGAAATTTAACGTAAAGGTTATTGGCTGTCTTGCTCTTCTTTGATATCCAAGACATGTCTTACAATAATAATTAATTGCAAATATGAGATTGCACAGATTATCTATCGAAAATATTGTTGAGATTTATGAAAACTCGTTTAATTATTAACATTTTTTTATTCGTTTTACAAATTACCTATAGATACAAATCACGTTTAAAACATCTGAAAAATTACCTTTGTTCTAAATTTTTACATTTTTCTATTTTTTAACAAGTTTCTAACATTTATAATAGGTAGGTAGGAACTACATTGTATCAATAACTCAATGCTCTATGGAATATGCGAGCCATTGCATTTGTTTTTACGACATTAAATTGCTTCACGCACATGGTCAAAAGATTACTTGACGTTAATTTTCAGTAGCTTACCAAGTGGATGTTGTATGAGGTGAATAACTTATCTTTTGAGTAGTGCAGCGATGGTCTATTGTTATTTATTATGACTTTTATGTCTTCCGGGATAGTTTGTTTTACTACCTCTTGTTGAGACACGCAACTATTTAGATAGATACTTATTATCTGTAACTACTAGGTACACATATTCTCTCTAGTAGGAGATTTGTCATTCCATATTCAGTTTTAGCATGTATAAAAGTAACAGTAAGACTCATTACGAAGGACCATGAAGCGTAGCATTTTGGGCCTGCCTAACAGTAAGCGAAATTAGGCTGAATTTACGATTCTAGTCTGCATTATAAAATGGTTAAAATTGCATGTTTTTTTTTTGTAAGCAAGCTCGAACTTGAGTTAAATGAATCCCTGTTGCAAGCGCCAAGTACCGCCGTCAACAAAGGTATTAATTTACTAAGAGATCATTGTTACGTGTTCTACTTAAGTATTAATAGCGGGTCCCCCTGCTGGGATTCACAGAATTTTGATTAAAGTTACATAACGACGGTCGTATCCACGTTCGGTGTCTGATCTTCATTGGCGCGCGTGGGAATCGTCTCCGGCTATGCAATTAGGGAACGCCGGGAGCGGAGGGTAGTCAATTACCGCGCGCACTGTTTT